CTTGGGTAAAACAAAATAAATTATTACCACCATTCATTGAAGACAACATTGCTTGGTATAAAGGTTCTTTGCTGATTTGTGGAGTAGCATTACAAGATAGATGACATTGCACTGTTCCAAGCTACAAATTCTGTGAAACCACCTTTAGTTTGGGGGATAGAGACACCAGATGGGCTTTGTCTCCTTTTTTTGGGGGGGGCGGGGAGGAATGCATTAGGGTTGATGAAGAGGAATTTCTACTATCACAGGTAACTACTGGAAGTTGGCTTTCATCCTTGAGCGTCCGGCTAATAGTACAGTGTCTGCTTTTAGTCAGAGGAGCTTCTTAGCCTCTGTATGGTCAGAAAAAATTGTTTATGTCAAGGGAAGACTGGAATTCATTCATTCGTTCATTCATTCTAGATGAAATTTACTTTCTGGTCACTTCTGATAAAGAACAAAGCCAGAATACAGCCTAGAGTATCAGAAGTGCAGAAAGCAGCTTCATCACAGTTCATGGAAAGATCGATCGTTATCAGTACCATCATGAGCAATGTTTACTGCCTGGCCTCCTTTCCAAAGTCATGTTAATACCTTTCTTAGTTCCAGATGCCCTATTAAAACTTGTATCATTTTTCCTCTGTGTATCAGCACTATTTAGTAGGATATATTTCATAAGGGTACCCTTGTTCAAGAACTCCTCTTTGTGTGCTTGTAAAGAAAGTAAACAAGCAGTTAACTGCCTGCAGTTACTGCTGCAAATAGCAAAAGGAGAATTTTCCGTCACTGATGTTGCCAGATCCGGAATTCTTCTGTTCAAAGCCCAGCTGTCTCACAATTATTCTGGTAATGCTAAGCCTCAGCCAGAAATCTTGATCTTGATTAGAGGGGTCTGAATCTAGCTTCAACGTTTACTGTTAATGAGCTGAATAATAAACACGGGGCCTATTGACCTTTTCTTACTCCTTGAGTTTGCAGATAGTGGGATCTTAACTTGCACTTAAAGGTTTGCTCCCATCTCTGATTTATAATCCCCTTTAAAACTTTATTATCCTCATAAACTCTGAAATGCTTATAGTGGACTTTAAACTTTTTTTTGACAGATAACTTTTATTTCCACATCTAGAAATGAACTCTTCTGAGGCCATTGTTTGTGCATACAATTTTTATCCTAGTTATAGGAGTCAACAAACCTCTTAATAATTTGTGTGCCCTGTAGTTACATTTTACATAAATACATACATATATATATAAAAGTTCCCTTTCCCAGCTTGCTGAAACTTTATAGCTGGCACCTTTCTAGTTCACAAGAAAAACTTTTATCTTTTTCTTTTTTTCATTTTTTCATTCACTTTGGCTACATGCGAGAGAAGCAACGACTGGCTGCCCTAACCTACTTGTGACATTTTCATAGCTATAGATAAAAAAAGAATTCCTTAGAAAATGACAGCCATACCACTAAAATTGCTTGTCTATCTGCAAAAGAATATTGCATTATCTAAAATGTTCTGTACAGGATCTGCATTAGACGCTAAAAAAGACTGAAAGCAAAATTATTCCAGGAATTTGAATAGCTTCTTGCAGAGATTTTTAGATTCCTAAAGCTTTCATTTCAAGTGCCAATGCTAGGATTCCCTTTTCAAGAAGGATGCTATGAAATATGAGGCCTAAGAAGAGTCAATGCTTTGAGTGCTTATCTTTTGGATTTGCTCTTACAACTTTTAGGATTCAGTAATTATTTGTCTCCCAGAGCCCCGCCCCTTAATCCAGGAATGATTACAGACACTGTCTCATTCATGGATCACAGTGTGAGAAGCTACTGTACACCCGCATATACATGCAGGGTATTTGGATAGCATAGTCACAGGCCCTTAGATAGGGCCTGTTATCAGACTTAAATAAGGTGAAAGGAAGGAAAAGAATCATTCATGTATGTTAGCAGCAGGTACATGGAGAGAATAAGACTTCTTTTTCTCCAAGTATCAAGTAAGATTTCCTTCCAAACATATACCGTAGTTTTTTAGAAATGCATATCACATCCGTCAGTAAATCTGTATATGGAACGCTTCGTGTAGATTTATATAAACAACGCACAACAAAGTCTAACATATTATTTTAGTCTCAACATAATTTACACAAATTACTATTAGCATGTCAGAAGTGCAACCAAAAAGAGCAGATTTTCTGCTCTGGAAAAACACTGCAGCAGCTAATTAAGTTCCAGCTGTGCCAGAGCGAGCCTATATACCAAGATTACGGAAGCTTACAGTAAACTGTCTACTCAGGATTAACCAATTGCCTGGCAAGCACACTAGCTTCACCACTGAAAATTACAAGAGCTAGAGTAACTCTCGAAATCAGTATAACTTAATTAGGCCTATAAATGAGGCTCTTCACACAACAAAAGATTATTCAAAATGAAGGAATTTGTTTTAAATATTGGAAAAAGACAATTTTAAACAATCTTCTCTCTTCTTGACAAATCACATTATTTAAAAAGTCTCATTCATATTTGAAAATGCTGACAAGTGATTTCCCATACTAAGGTCTGAACTGCTGTGCAGACACACTACAAGTTGTGCAGTCTGCTCCAATTACAGTCAGCAAAAACAGGGCATTTAATAATTACAGATCCTGGGTGGTGTGACCACTAATTAATGCAAAATAGATGCTGAGCCATTGTTATCGAAGGTAAGACAAAAAAAAAAGATTAGAGCTTTTTAATTCACGTAGAGTCTTCAAATACCTGAGGGAAGTGCTTACACACACAAATATGCTGAAAATGGACATTTATGGATTCAACAAAAAGTTTAATAACCTTTCAGAAAAAAAGAAATCAAGATTATACAAAAATCACAGAGTAGGTCTTATCACATCTACTTTTTAGGTGAGCTTGTCACTTGTATTTAAGCTCAGCATCACTCAACAACTTTTTCCACAGTCCAAGTTGAATCTTTTCAGCAAGTTACTTGACTTCTAGAGCGTATGCAATACTTTTAAGGTTTTCCAGTATCACAAGTGAACAATACTACAAATATTACACGTAGAGTCTTCAAATACCTGAGGGAAGTGCTTACACACACAAATATGCTGAAAATGGACATTTATGGATTCAACAAAAAGTTTAATAACCTTTCAGAAAAAAAGAAATCAAGATTATACAAAAATCACAGAGTAGGTCTTATCACATCTACTTTTTAGGTGAGCTTGTCACTTGTATTTAAGCTCAGCATCACTCAACAACTTTTTCCACAGTCCAAGTTGAATCTTTTCAGCAAGTTACTTGACTTCTAGAGCGTATGCAATACTTTTAAGGTTTTCCAGTATCACAAGTGAACAATACTACAAATATTCAAGTAATAGTAATAACAAGTAAGTGGTTTAAATCTTCAGAAGTCCTCTTCTTCCACTGAAGGTGCACTATTAAAACAATTCAAGGTATTTAAGAAAATTGTTCAAGTATAACTGCCATATTACAACTTCTCTCATTTCACTGTGACAAATGTGTATCTTGAAGTTAAAAACTAAATTCTTTTCTTCAGCTAGAAAATCTGCACAAAGGAGGGAGAAAGGAACAAAATCACTAGAGATTTAAAATGAGCAATTCTTAATGTTCCAATTAAATAATCTAAATTATGTTCTGCTTTTAGAAACTGTCTTCCTTAATATTTGTAAGACGGTTATCCTGTAAAAGTACACTTACTCCCCAGGTCAAAATGCTGTATCGTCATGCAACAAAATCTCACTCCAAAAGATAACATTTAGGATTCCTTATTTTGTGCTGGCAATTGCTCTACACGTTTTACAGTAAATAACGTTATCCCAAGTTGTTGAACCAATCTAGGAGAATCAATGCTTTCCTCACACGCAGCCTCCTTCCACTCCCCCCCCCCCCCCCCGCAAAACACCAATGCAAAAATTAAACTGTCAGCCTGCCACATGGAGAGAAGACAGCCTCTGAAGGAAAAAGACAATCTTTATGTACAAAACCTTGACTTCCTAATTTTACACCTACCTCTCCAGCTTTATCGGTGGAGCATCTTCCCCATTTTTACTGTGATCAATCTAGCAAACATGGTTTCAGTTTGCTTTATTATTGCAGTAGTTCAGCCTGTAGTTTGTATTTTATAGAGATGCACATGGACAGTGTCCAACACTGAAGTCCTATAATCTAGAGCTTTAAGTTGTTAGAACATAAAATCAAGATTGCTTTATAACGTAAGTTTTAGTCTGGTGTATTTCCAATAATACTTCACAGAACTAACAAACTTAGTAGGTAAATGGATTAACTCTGAAGCTTTATCTAGGTATATTTAAGCTCTTCCGTGTCAACTGTCCCACCTTATTCGCATTTATTAGTAGAATATAAAACACCTGATTTCACAGTGTCTGCCTAAAATGGCTACAGAGATGCTAGTTAAATTTTGGAGGGGGGTTATTAGCTTTAATGTGATCATCTGTCAGTAGATCTTAATAGAAAGAGAAGGATGGGTGGTTGCCGATACTGTACAATCTGGAACACCAAGAGCTGGTGTTCTGAGGTTTTTTCTCCCCTCTTCTCCTTTTTTTAAAATCATACCTGGGAAACTATGAAGAAACACTTTCTAATGCTAGAGTGATATAAGTCTATGTATGTAAATTGTATAGCAACACTTAATTCACTTAGAACATCCAGTCTCAAAATTCTAAAGCTTCATTTTATAGATACCTAAGATAGATGAACACAGAAGAGTTTGATGTAGTTATAAAGTATGTGACTTTTTTTGCAAGGTGAAGCCAAAAAGAGTGTGAAACTAGTCCAGGATTTACATATAGTATAGCCTGAAACAATGGAATGACCAGTTTGAGTATTTACTGATGTTTAAGCTTTTTCTGACAATTGCTACAGTATTGTGGCATCACAAGAATCAGATCTAGAAGCTAGCTGCTGGTTTATCACATTTTAAAATTTTCTTATCAGTTTTACTGTTTGTAGTTATCCAGTGAATTACAACAGTTCAAAGACAAACCCCAACAAGTAGTTAGACTGACCATTTTTATAAGCTTATTTTATTTCTTTGCTGTACAAAGGCAGAAATGCAAGTTATCTCAATAAATCTACATCAACAACTACCTAGACTTGATACAGATATATACAAAAAAGCCCACTTATTTAACTTCAGTGTTGATTCCGTAGTTCATGTAGAGCCGGATGCAAACAATGCAAACAGCATCTACACAATGTAAGGCAAAACTTTCATGATATTTACATCTTGTTCCTTACAACAAAGGCTTCTGATATACCAGCTCCTTGTTACATTTGTATTTGACAATTGGGTTTAATAGCAGTGCAGCTCCAGAACTAAAAAGTGCATTTCTTTATTATATACATTCTTATAAGAATTGTGGATTGTTCAGAAATAGTTTTAGGATCTTCAGTTTTAGAAGTAATTCCTTGCCTATTTTTTCCATCAATTCAAAGGTATTTCATAAGCTAAAAGGGTGATTTTCCCAAAGCACTGTAGATCACATGCAAGTATGAAAACAAAACTCCTAAAAGCAACTCTAGGAACTGTCTTCTTTTAACCTGGAAGATAAGCAGTCCTGTGAAAGCACTCAACCAACCCACTGCTGTTTTAAATTTAAAACATTATGCAACATTTCAGGTCGGTAAGTTTGCAGTTCCAAGCAGTTCTGAAAAACCTCTGTAACACAGATATTCACATTCTCATTACATTTTGATTCATAATTCATCCCTCACATCTCAGCTTGCTTTTGGAGATCTCACTCTGAAAGAGAAGCGAAAAAGGAATAAATTTACTGCTTTTCAGGAAATACTGTTCCGAGTAAGCATTGCATTGACACATGCACTGTACCTGCTTCTAATATAAAATATTTAGAATCATTTCGTAAAGCGTATTCCCTTTGATGATATGAACATGAAAAGAAAGCACACGAGGAAAGTCTGATTACATTACTCATTCTGTTAATATACTGTTAAATACATCATTCAAAGAGTTCAGTTTTGTAAAGCAGGATACTGCTTATCATCCATGATATACTTATCTTCTAAGATGGATAAACTTTGAGATTCAGTAGCAGTATCTTAAAAATTAGGAGCTCTGCAGAAGATGGGGCCAAGTTAAACTCAAGAAGCTATTTTCAATCACTTTGCTCTAGCTATGCAACAAGGCTGAAGCAAATCCAGTCATTACAAATTACATTATTAGTATTTTACATCCCCCAAATCCATCTTTAAAGAAAAAAATATTTGTTATTCTTATACAGCATATTTAAGAATCTGTCAAGCTAACAAAACATAGGTAATCTACATTTCTAAGCTGGTTGTAGCACATTTTGAATTCTCTGTCGTTACATATTCTCATTCTGAACTGTGTTCCATAAACGTTTTGCAAAAGGTCACCCTAAGAATACTAAAAATCATTCCTCTTATGATTTACTTTGTTTAGCAGAGGAAAAAATAATTTATGACGTTTATGAAGCAAATGAATCAAAACAGAACAGCACCAGAAAACTCAGCAATGTAGGAGTTTTTTTTAAAAAACAACAAAAAAACCCAAAAAAGAACCACAAAATCAAAAAGCCAACTCTTCCCCTCAACTATAAAGTCGTATTACTAAAAATAAATCACCTTTTGTGTTCTGAGCTACTGTAATTCCTGCTATGTTTATTTTTAAAACACAATATCCTGCAACACTGGGGCTCTAGCAGACAAAATTCCAGCCAATCATGTTTCAGGAGCTTAAAACACTGTCTCCCCCTCTTCAGGCAGGACAGTTAATGAGTGAAAGCAGCACACCCTCTTACATGAAACAGCATCTTAGCTCTCATGACAGCTAGTATCTAACTGCTGGACTCTGCACTGAAGCAGCTGAGAACCTGCACACTGTTCCATCAGCAGAGTGCAACAGAACAGTCAGCTCTAACAGGAAACTAGTAACCAGCAGGGGAAGGAAAGGGGTCAGGGAACAAGAGTGGCTTGCTATGGATACATGTGCCTAACCCCTTGGTCTGCTGCTCTTGTGAGATAACGTAGCACCACAGACTTCCATTTCAGGCATTTCCTATACTCCCACACAGCTTAAACCACCTAAACCATGCCTAAAAAATTATACTTGCACCGTTTTCAACTTTATCACAATGTCTTGATACATACTTTTAAATATCACAAGCATTTTAAAAAATTACACAGGGATAAATACGTAAATGGCAGACGTTACCTTCATCAGGAGGTACTGTCGGCTTTGCTTCAGAAGACACAGTATCCATATCTTCAAAAGTTTTGGCACCTGGCTTATCTTGTTCCACCTCACACAGATACACGTCAATGGGTCCTTTTGTGCTTTTTATATGTACTTCTATGCTATCCTATAAAACAATGACTTGCATATAAACAAAAGAATAAATCTTACAAATAAGCTATCTAGTTTTGATACAGTCCACACCTCCATGGAAAATCTATTTTGACATAATCCACCAAAGTGCCAAAACTTTTTGATTTTGGCTACAGTATTATGTGTGTCCTAATTCAATATTTCAGTGACAACAAATTTACATTCATTAAGCAATAAGAAAATATTTATTTGCTGCTACATCATTAACAAATTATGCTTATTTTATTATCTTGTTTGGTTAGATTTATAGTTGCATATACAATTTAGTATACAAACGTTAACAACATGTTGGAAGTTTCATTATCCACATAATTATCAAACATACTCTGATACTGGAAATAATGGAGCAGCTATAATAAGTGTTATTTATCTCTAGCAAAACCAAAGTAATAACTAAAGCTCAGACATGTTTATTGTTTAATAACATAGGTAAACAAAAATCCCCATAGTCTAAAAAGTTGCTTAGACTCTTCTACCTATTGCATTTTTTAGTGCAACACTAGAAAAATGGAAGTACCACTATTTGCTATACATGACAAATAAAGTGGAAGTCAATTACTGATTGCTAGAAGCCAATTATTGATTTCTAGAAGTCAATTACTGACTGCTGTTGCAAGGTCAGATTCCAGTGTTTTTGTTCCTTTAAGAGAGAAACGTATAAAACTTACTTCTTTAGGAGCTGGTACTTCCAATTTCGTTTCTTCCGGAGCTTTGATCGCAATAACAATCTGTTCTTGAAATGCCTGAATGCTATGGATATCTTGGTATGTCACATAAGCTAGTGTATACATTGGTCAAGGATTCTGTAAATTTGTTAATGGGCAGAAGCAAAGAGTATGATGCTAACTTATGTTGAAGCAAAAGACCTACTTAAGAAAAGCAGTAAATAGTTCGGTTGAGGTTGCTTTAACATTAGACTTTGTAATGTTAGGCAGTAGCTGACAGGAGAACAGCCCTTCTCTTTATTTAAGAAGGGGGAAACAAAATTTAAAAAGATTGAGATATTCAATATTGAAAAAAAACCCACTCAACAATGTTTATATCAAATTAAAATTTAAAAAAGGAAATCCCCTTTCTCTTATCAAGGACCCCCTTTAAGATAAAACTACACTGGAATCTTTCACAACAGACAGAACAACCACCATACCATTCAATGTTGTTGTTGACAGGTCACTGGGACTCTGTTTTAGGTCCTCTCTCTCATCTAACTAATCAACTCAATCTCACTGGTAGGCAAAGTCTCTCCCCGAGATATTATTCTATAATGGAGAGAACAAGAACATGGTCAAGGTACTGACTGAGACTATTGCTTCATCTCCATTTTAACTCTTTCCTCTTCATTACTGTTCCAAACGACTCCTTATCTCAATATAATCCTCTTCCTTACCCTCTCTGCCACTGATACACTCTTCTTTCCTTTACATTGCAAAGTGCCAAAGGAAAAGAAGAATAAAATAGTCCAACTCCAGTTCTTTTTACTTCACCTCTTCTCAAACTTCTGCAGTGGAAAAGTCATTCAAGTAGCACTTCCCTGGGAAGGTACTTGACTGCATATGATTCTGCAAAAGAGGGCACATGTCTAATACACACTAATGTAAGGAACCCAGAAAGTTCCCTATCATAAAATACATAGTCAAGTATTACTGCCTAACTGTGGTATCTGCCTACACCTATTACCAGATACCTGAGCACTAGTGATCAAAATCATGTGATAGATAAAGTGATGTAAGAGTTAAAAGGATATTTTGCATTTTCTTTGTCATCTGTTAGTTCAAATAACTGATGAGCACAATCCTTGATTAATTCATCCAGGGCTTCTTCCATGGCTGACAAGTCAGAAAGTTCATCTCTAAGCTTTTGCTGCTCTGGTGCCTTTCCAACAACTTGATCAAGATCAGAACCTCTAAAAGAATATGAAAGTTGTCTAGTAGGTTTATATAAGTAAGAGCTTGTTTATTGAATACAGAAAACGTACTAATAAGAACCAATAAGGAATTCTGGCATCCTTTGCTCTGCTGAAATACATTTCATTGTTGCTTTTTTTCTCCTACTTGATAATTATTAATATAGTATGTAATTCAGACAGTCTAAGGATGCAATAGAATTTAAGACAGCTTCATTTATCCAAAGTAATTAAATATGCTTAAAAATACTCTGAGCTCCAAGCTAAAAACATTACTTAGTACTGTTGGTTTTTATTGTTTCCAAAACTAGAAGTTTCAAAGCCAACTCACACCCACTGGATAAGGTTCTTAGATCTTTTCTGAATTAAGTGGATTCCATCCAACACATTGGTGATGTCATACACTCTTCGTTTCCGTACTCCAAGAGTTCTTGCTACCTCGTTTAAATCAAGGACGCCATGTGGAGCTGTTTTGACAAGATCCATGAACTTTCGGGTCAAATAAACCAGGGAGGCATCGAATCGAGGCTTTGTGACTTTCAGAGTCTCTGTAAAGGTTTGACGCAATATTTAGTATAAACTACTACAACAATATTAAGTAGTTTTTAAACAAACAACAGCACTGAAGATAAAAATCTTGAAACACTACAATCATTTAAAACACTGACATTGAGATGGCATCATATAAAGTCTGTTAACCAAATGCACCTTTATTGGTCTGCAGTAATTGTATCTAAAAAGCAATCATGCATCTTCACGCTTTCAAAGTTCATGCTAACATGGATATTAATAGTTATGTTACCATACGTTCACTGCGCTATGTAGACTCAAACTACTAAGTGAATACTAGTAAAAACATAGGTCAACTGTAAGTTAGTACATTAGATAGTGCCTGGGCCCTGCCCGAGAACTGAAACTCTAATATTTGCTCTGTTAGACTGTTAAAACAGTTCTTCATATCCCTTTGGCCCAGGTCAACCAGCAGTCTCCCAAATAATTTCACAATTCAAGAGTTAGCCTGGTTTTAGGGACTATTTCTATCTGAATGTGACCAATCTGTTCTGGAGTATAAGAACTTAATATATGGACAAACATAGGTTGTACTATTTGGCCTCAGACCTAAAGAGCTGTTGATGTCATTACTGAGTTTACTAATAGAGATGAAGATCTACAGATACCATAACACCACATGTTTAAGAGAGACCCCTGTGCTGCATCTTCCCAGTATCAGCATATTCTCAGAAACAGCAGAAGAGCTACTGATGAACAGCTTGGTTAGTTTTAGATTGTTACATACTTATATATGCCTGAGTACTCCTTTGTTTTAAAGCACCAAAAAGACTTGATGCCTATGCACTAGTCAAGGGGTTCTGACGCAAGAGTCAATGAAAGACCGTCAAACGCCGCTGTTACTTGTGTCTTCTTCTGCAAAGAAACCACATATTTCTTATCTGATCAAAACGCATCACTGAACATTCCTGTTTAATGCCTCAAGGGAGTGTGCGCATCTGTGCGTGCACGCATGTAAGGAAATTCCCCTGGGAAGCACATTCTACTTTATAATCTTCAACATTTTTCCCAGGATGAATGCAATGTGCACTTTTACTCATGGTATATCATATCCATTCCACTGCTGCAAGCTTGTGGACACTTTAATATGAGGTGACAGATTCAACAACTTGCTAATCAGTTCTGGACTCTATTACTGTAAGAAAACGTACAACTAGTGAGGAAAAAAAAAAAGGACACAAAAATTCACTAAAGCTTGTATTTACATTTGTTAATGCCAGTTGAAATGCAAACTTTTCCAGCATTATGTTCCAGTTTTCTCTAACTCATTTTTTCCATAACCTCACTTTCATTATAGGAGTGGGGAGGTATAATTGCAGCAGATGGAACGAAAAGAGGAAAACAAAGAATGTGTTGCATTGTGTTTGCTATTTCACCGAGTGTGCAGCATTCCTTCTGTTCTGTCTTTACTAGACACACAACACTTGTTTACAACACCTACTCGACATTGTAAAAAAGAGTAATATACTTCACGGATAATCTTTACATATGGAATGCAGAAACTTACTTCTTACAAACTGTACCTCATCTTCCACATTCAGGTTGATCACTGGTGGCTGCAGAATTAAAAGGATAACTGACGTTACGAGATTTCATCTACATAGGAAGCTTCTCCACGTGAAACCCCACCTCAGCTGTAGATGCTACAGGGATCACAGCACTGACAACTCAGCAGGTATTACTGTGAGGGAATCTCACTGGATAGAAGAGGTACTTGCTTATTAATTCCTGTCAGAATTTTCAAGCTTTAATCTCAACACATTTTCCTCTGTATTGGAAAGCAGGAAATGCCACCAAAACTCCCCAACGCTTAGGCAATGGTTCCAATACAAAGCAGTAGCTTTATACACTCTATAAACACCAGTTTCAGACACTCCCTGTAACAGTTCACATACAAAAGATACCCAGATATTACACAGCATCACAGTTATTTTGTACTAGACTTCCAGACGAGCAGTCTGCTCTGGTCTTGAAACTGACATGATGATCCCAACTACTTTCTTCCTTTCTCCCTCTCCAGTTCAAACAAAATGAATAGTTTCAAATTCATAGACTCATTCCAGCTGGAAGAGTCCTCAGGAGGTCTCTTGTCCAACCTCCTGCTCAAAGCAGGAACAGCTATGATATCAGACCAGCTTACTCGGGGCTTTATTCAGCTGGATCTTGAAAGCCCCCAAGGATAGAGGCTGCACCTCTCCGGGCAACTTCTTCCACTGCTTGTGTCTCTTCATAGTGAAACATTTCTCCTTGTATCAAGTTGGAAAAAAGGCATGAAATGAAAGAAGAGAGGCGAGAGAGGTTCCTTCATCCTTCCATCATGGACTACTGTTAACTGCCTGGCTCCATCTTCTCAATAACCTCCTAGTAAGTACTGGAACACTGCTATGGCTTAAAAAGCCCAGCTCCTTCAGCTTCCCTCATAGCTCATGTACACTAATCTCCAGACCGCTTTTGGTGGATCTCTGCTGGTAGCACTCAAGTTTATCAACATCCTTTCTGTACTAGAGTTCTTAAAGTGTGACAGAGTAATCCAAGAGTACTTTAACAAGCGCCAGATAAAGAAGACACAACCTCACAACCTCAACCATTCTGTGATTCTGTGAAAAATAATCACTTCTTCTGATTTGTTAGCTATGCTCCTGCTGCTACAGTCCCACAGGGCTTCATCACTACCAGGCATACTGCTGGCTCACATTTAGCTTACTGTCCACGAGGATGCCTAGGTCCTTTCAGGAGAGCTGTTCCCCAGCCACTCAATTCCCAGTGTGTACCACTGGGGGCTATAGGGTCAGGTGGCCGGATTTCTAGTCTGAATTGAATTGTCAACTTCCTTATGAAATTCCATAAGGCTCCTGTTGAACCATTCCTCCAGTTTGTGCCTAGGGGTCTATGGCACTTTCCCCTTCTCATTTGGTGTCATCCATAAACTTGGCAAGAGCACATCCCACGCCCTCCTACAGATCACCCATAAAGATACAGGATAGATGCAGCTGACCATCTGTAACTTTCCAGCTTGAAGACAAGGATGCTGTGGGATACTATTTCAAAAGTGCTGCTAAAGTCAATGCAGATGATATCCAATACTTTGCATCTACAGAGCTAGTCATTTCATCAAAAAAGATAATCAGTTTGGTCATGCAAGAATAGTCATGCTGGCTAATCCCAGTCACCACCTTCTCCTTCATGTTCCTAAGAAATGCCTTCCAAGAGAACTCGCTCCATGGTTTTTGAGAGACTGAAGTGTGGCTGACCAACCTGCACCTGATCTCCACAACCTCTTGAAAATGACAGAGATCAGCCTCACAATGATATCAGTCAGCTCTCTCAGATCCCTCTGGAAGCATCCCGTCAGGTCCTGTTGAGACTTGTAGGGGCTGAGATTTCTCAAGAAATCCCAGACTTGATACTTTGCCACTACTGGTAGTTCCTCTTCTCCTTGAGCCCTATCCTTAGATACAAGAGCCTACAGAACCTCGCTTCTGAAGACCCAAACAAGAAGGCCGAGTACTTCAACCTCATCTGTGTCTGCTGTCCCTAAATCACTTGCCCCATTCAACAGCAGATCCACGTTTTCCTGTTTATTCTTTTACTGCTAAGGTAAAAGTTCTTTGTCACCCTTGACATCCGTTGTCAGTTTCAACACTAACCGAGCTACAGCTTTCCTTACATCATGCCTACATGTCCAGACAATTCTCCTCTGTAGCTTGACTTCACTTCCACCACCTGCAGATCCCCCTACCCCAAGCTCAGGCATAGCCATGCCTCCACACATCTTGTTTTCCTGTGTATCTGGATGGTACATTCCTGGATACATTCCCGTGCTTGAGTGAAGGTGTGCTTACCAGAACTCCCAGGTCTTGAGCTCCTCTACCCTACAAAGTCACCTTCCAAAAAAAAATCTCAGCTACCAGTTCCCTGAATAAGCTGGAGTCTGCTTTCCTGAAGTCCAGCATCCGCGCTCAGCTACTTGTCGTCCTCACTACACTTAGCATCTTGAACGCCACTATTCAGTGGCCCCTGCAGTCAAGGCTGCTAATGGTTACCACACTCTTGACTTCCTTGTTGATGAGAGGCAGATTCAAGACAGCACCTCTGGTTGGCTGATCCATCACGCGGCATTATGTTGTGCCCTACACCCTTTGTCTCTAAAAATCACCATCTCTAGTAGTAAGAAATTTTCAACTACTGATGGAAAAAATTCAGGGAAACCTTTTCATAGCAGGAAGGCAATGCTACCAAATAACATTTAGCCCAATAGCTGAAGTTAATAAAACCAAGCATTTCTTAAAGAAAGTGACACAGAATTAAAAGTAAACCTATTTTTAATTAGCTACCTCGTAACATTACTAAAAGTAATGCCAGATACCACAGAAAAGTAGATTACCTGAACTTCACAGACGTTCATATAAGAGTAAAATAAAGCACCACCCTGCAACTGATTTTTCAAACACATCTACAACCTAGTTAACTCGACTAACAGGTTATAGTTAGTGCAGCTAGGAAAGACATTGCTTTGCACTCACTAACGTTATGACAGCCTCCTCTCCCAGGCAGCCTGCTAAAAAGCCATGAGGGAGGGAAGCATCACTATGCTTCTGTGTACTTCTCAGGCCAGGCACACCACATCTTCCCCGCTCAGGGATATCTTGCCAGACAGGTGAGAGGAAAGACTTTCCCGGATCGCCTTAAATCGCTCAGTGGCGGGAGCACAGCGTTGCAGGGCCGTCCCGCCCTAGCCCCATCCGCCGGCAGTACCTCCCTTCCCCGCCCGCCCGCCGTGTCCCTCACTCACACGCAGCGTGTCCGGCTGCAGCGGCCTCCGCC